GGTGGGGCTAAGCCCCTCCCCCCCCCCCCCCCCCCCCCCCCCCCCCCCCCCCCCGCTGTGGCTCCGCCCCTGATGCTGATTCACTGTGAATTGACCCAAATGAGAATCGGTATCCATTGTCATTTATCTGACAGCAGTCATCCCCCTCGGTCTTCGCACCTGATTGGCTCACAAGTGACGACATCACATGTATCCCTCTGTTTAAGACCAGAACACAATTTCTCCACAATTCTGGCTCTCGCCTGATGGAGACGATTGTCATTGCCAATAAAAAAACATCGCACTTGAATCGCAAACGTTGTTGGTTTACTCTCCAACACACCGGTGGGTGCTGAACTAGTAACCAATTGGCATGAATCTTTCATTTAAAGCTTTCGTGACTGCAGGAATTCATGCTCGCTCAAGTCAGGTAAATAAAAAAACACATACATCACGACGTTTTGATCGCAACACAAGCAATCGTCTTCAGGTGGTAGAGAGAGAGAGAGAGAAAGCTTGCTGAGACAAGGTCTGAGATTGGCATGTTTTGTTTACGTGAAAAACCTTACTAATTAACTGTGTCAAGGTAGTGGCAGCTCTAACCCAGCAAAAACTTATATTCGGAATCACCACCCACTCACCGTCCCACGTAGTCACCCATGCACCCACACACACGCTCAGTCGCGCACTGAATCACACGCCAACTCAATCACTCATCCGCTCCCACCCACTCTCTTCCATATGTATTTGGCAATATGTCCAGGCGCTAATTGCCGAATGAACGAGGTCTGTTAAGATGAACGAGCTTGTGGGTGCGTGAGTGACATGTTAAGAGTGGTACCAGCGGTGTCAAGATCGGCCTCTGTGCAGGAGGAGGCTCGTGAAGGACGCTGCTGCTACTGGGCAGTTGGAGGCAGTCGCCCTCCAACAACAACGGAGGGCGGAGGAGCGACGCTCACAACAACGAGCGGAGCGCCGGGTGGCTAAAGCACAGCAGGTTGGCACAGTAGGGGGCACAGGTGGTGCATCAGCTAGTCATCTCAGTCATCTCAGTCAGTCGACCCGTGGCACCTGCTGGGTCTGCCCCCGTGACCTCCTGCCAGCGGGCGTTCGACACTTCACGTGGTAGCCTCAAGGTGCACCTAGCCTGGCACAAGCGTCGTGGTGACGTCACCGCCACTTAGTGGCGAATGGCGGTTGTTGTTAGTGAGTGTAGCGCTGAGCTCACCAGCATGTCTCAGATCTCCTCCAGGACGAGCTGGGTCTTCATAATAGATCACCAATAAAAGGTGATCACCAATAATTGGCGATCTATTATTGTATAGTGAACAGCGCAATGTATCGATATTACACCGTTATCGCTGTAACTCCTGTCTCTCTATAACACCTGTATTGTCTTCGGGGCCGTCCATAAATGACGTCACGCACCTGGGGGTGGGGGGCGGGGTCAGACATTTGTGACGATGTGTGACGAGGAGGGGGGGGGTTGAGAAATGTGACGTCACATCAAAATTCCGCAACTTTAAATAAATATAGACAACACGTTCTAACTTTATTAAATATACTTTTTAATAAATGTTTTCTCCTACAACATCAGAGTGCAGCGCCACATTAGATACGCACTACAATGACAATAGTTTAAAGCGATTTGAAGCATGTTATATTTTTTTTTTGGGGGGGGGGGGCAGAGCTTTGTGACGTCATATTTGAGGGCAGGGGTCTGACTTTTTGTGACGCCGTGTGACGAGGGGGGGGGCAAAATCGTCCAAAATCGCGTGACGTCATTTATGGACCGGCCCCCCACCCTTAGCCTCTGCAGTTTACACGCGGGATTTTGCTGTCTGTGTGTGTGCGCGTATGGATCATTCCTGAGCCTTCCCTTGGTCGAGTTAGCCTCGCATGAGTGACTGGTGCAAGTGTCTATAATCAAACAAAGATCACGCGCCACGTGTAGCCTGTGACAGGCCGTACGGGCAAGTGCTCTTAGCGAGCGACTACGAAAGCCTGGCACGGCGCAACGAGGAGGTCGGTGGCCAACACCACGCCCGGCCGCCTTTGTCTCCCCAGTGGCGATGTTTACTACGCACCGCACCAGGTGCTCGTTTGAGTGGATGGGAGTAAAAAAATTGAATAAAAGTCGAAACCCCCCCCCCCCGCAGATGTACAGGAACAATAACGACCGACTAAATTCAAGCTTTCCCATGCCGCATGAACCACTGCACGCGATGCCCGATACTCGGGAGTCCGGGGAAATCTGCACCGCGGTGGGGTCACGAGGGCCGGAGTTGAGATGCACTGGTGACGACTCCCAAGCGCTGGAAGAGGCCTGGGTTCGAGCCCCGACTTTTGGGCCACTCTTCAGCGTGGAGTTTGTAAGTTCACCACCCTCTTCAGCGTGGGGTTTGTAAGTTCACCACCCTCTTCAGCGTGGAGTTTGTAAGTTCTCCACCCTCTTCAGCGTGGAGTTTGTATGTTCTCCACCCTCTTCAGCGTGGAGTTTGTAAGTTCACCACCTCTTCAGCGTGGAGTTTGTAAGTTCTCCACCCTCTTCAGCGTGGAGTTTGTAAGGTCACCACCCTCTTCAGCGTGGAGTTTGTAAGTTCTCCACCCTCTTCAGCGTGGAGTTTGTAAGTTCACCACCTCTTCAGCGTGGGGTTTGTAAGTTCACCACCCTCTTCAGCGTGGAGTTTGTAAGTTCTCCACCCTCTTCAGCGTGGAGTTTGTATGTTCTCCACCCTCTTCAGCGTGGAGTTTGTAAGTTCACCACCTCTTCAGCGTGGAGTTTGTAAGTTCTCCACCCTCTTCAGCGTGGAGTTTGTAAGTTCACCACCCTCTTCAGCGTGGAGTTTGTAAGTTCTCCACCCTCTTCAGCGTGGAGTTTGTAAGTTCACCACCCTCTTCAGCGTGGAGTTTGTAAGTTCACCACCCTCTTCAGCGTGGAGTTTGTAAGTTCACCACCCTCTTCAGCATGGAGTTTGTATGTTCACCACCCTCTTCAGCGTGGAGTTTGTAAGTTCTCCACCCTCTTCAGCGTGGAGTTTGTATGTTCACCACCTCTTCAGCGTGGAGTTTGTAAGTTCACCACCCTCTTCATCGTGGAGTTTGTAAGTTCACCACCTCTTCGCCGTGGAGTTTGTAAGTTCACCACCTCTTCAGCGTGGAGTTTGTAAGTTCTCCACCCTCTTCAGCGTGGAGTTTGTATGTTCTCCACCCTCTTCAGCGTGGAGTTTGTAAGTTCACCACCTCTTCAGCGTGGAGTTTGTAAGTTCTCCACCCTCTTCAGCGTGGAGTTTGTAAGGTCACCACCCTCTTCAGCGTGGAGTTTGTAAGTTCTCCACCCTCTTCAGCGTGGAGTTTGTAAGTTCACCACCCTCTTCAGCGTGGAGTTTGTAAGTTCACCACCCTCTTCAGCGTGGAGTTTGTAAGTTCACCACCCTCTTCAGCATGGAGTTTGTATGTTCACCACCCTCTTCAGCGTGGAGTTTGTAAGTTCTCCACCCTCTTCAGCGTGGAGTTTGTAAGTTCACCACCCTCTTCAGCGTGGAGTTTGTAAGTTCACCACCCTCTTCAGCGTGGAGTTTGTAAGTTCACCACCCTCTTCAGCGTGGAGTTTGTATGTTCACCACCCTCTTCAGCGTGGAGTTTGTAAGTTCTCCACCCTCTTCAGCGTGGAGTTTGTATGTTCACCACCTCTTCAGCGTGGAGTTTGTAAGTTCACCACCCTCTTCATCGTGGAGTTTGTAAGTTCACCACCTCTTCCACGTGGAGTTTGTATGTTCACCACCCTCTTCAGCGTGGAGTTTGTAAGTTCACCACCCTCTTCAGCGTGGAGTTTGTAAGTTCTCCACCCTCTTCAGCGTGGAGTTTGTAAGTTCACCACCCTCTTCCACGTGGAGTTTGTAAGTTCACCACTCTCTTCCACGTGGAGTTTGTAAGTTCACCACCCTCTTCAGCGTGGAGTTTGTAAGTTCACCACCCTCTTCAGCGTGGAGTTTGTAAGTTCACCACCCTCTTCAGCGTGGAGTTTGTATGTTCTGCCCCTCTTCCGCGTGGGGGTTTTCCTCCGGGTTCTCTGCTTTCCTCCCGCAATAACATTTTGTTTTCGAATAAAACCACCCCACGTTGCATTGCGACTGCCGTGAACCAAAAAACCATCCCAAAGCTGCGAATATTCCCCGCAAATCGCTCGATTGGGAGCGCACACCGCTCAGCTGCAGGAATTCCGCCCCCGCTTCCCCACCCATCGATTGCGAAAGACTTCACGGGACCCTCCTGAAAAAATAATCTTGAGACCTCTCTGGGCTAATGCTATCTGGCTTAAACAAGTTCGTCGAAATCACCGATGCTGAGTCTTCGGGCTTTCAAATGGCGAGCACGCACGCACGCACGCAAGCACACGCACACACATGCACACACATGTACACGCACGCACACACACACACGCACGCACACACATGCACACGCACGCACACACACACACACACAAGCACACGCACACACATGCACACACACGCACACACACATGCACACGCACACACACACACACGCATGCACGCTCGCACGCACACACACGCACGCACACACACACACACGCACACACACACGCACACACACGCACACACACACACACGCACGCACACACACACGCACACACACGCACACACACACACACGCACACACACGCACGCACGCACACACGCACGGGACATCCCCTAAAGTTGCAGGGACCGAGTCTGTGAGCTGCAGTGGACCCAACGATTAGTGCCGATGAGACGCACTCATGTCCGACACGGCTTCCGTTGACGGGCGATTTGCGCTCCAATAAAACAAACACTCAAAATCATAGCAACAGCCATCAGACAACAGCCATCAGACAAATGTACATTCGTAATAATAAAGGTGTTTTTTAAAATTTATTTTTTTGGTCGCGAAAGCATACGTGTTAAACTTACAATGTAGATTGAAAAAAATTTTGTCGTTGACTTTTTTTATTCCAATCACCCCCCTCCCCCCCGTCTCCCTCCCCCCTCCCCCCCCACGCCGCCCCCTCCCCAATCCTCTCGTTGCTCCCTGGAGGGGACCGGCCCGACGCCGCGTGCCCGCGGCTCCTCTGTGTCCATGGCCGGTGGCCGTGGAGACGCGGCAGGAGTTGACCACCACCATCACCACCGCCACCGCCACCACCGCCGCCCACGCCGCTTGCCGTTCGTCCGTGCGCCGTCACATCTTCTTCCGGAAGCTGAAGGGGTTCTCCTTGATGGGCAGCACTTGCACCGGCTCCGTCTGCGTCGCGACCGTCGAAGTCCTCTTCCCTCCCTGCGCACGCGAGGTCAACACCACCACCACCACCCCACCCCCCACACACGAAGACAAAGATAAAGATCCCCCGTATAGCCTCAACGGGCTGGTTAACACATAGGAGGCTTTAGCGAGCAATACCATACGGGTTTTTTTTTTTTTGGGGGGGGGGGCGTTTGATTGCGTAAATATATAAATGTTGTGTCGTTAAACCCGCCACCACCCGACACAGCCAATCGGTAAGGGTTGTGTGACGTAAACTGAACGTGCCTAATCGATCGCTGGTACAGCACAGGGAGATCGCACACAAGGGTTGTCACCACATCTACGCCTCTGTACAAGGAACACAACAGGAAGACTTCTCCACAAATCTGGCTCTCGCCTGATGAAGCTGGTTGTAATTACTGGCGAAACGTCGTACTCAAGATTGTAAATGTTGTGGCTTGGCTCTCCAACACACAACCGGTGTTGCTGTACTAGTATACTACACTATACACTACTATACACTATACACTACTATACACTATACACTACACTATACACTACACTATACACTACACTATACACTACACTATACACTGCACTATTATACACTACACTATACACTACTATACACTACACTATACACTACTATACACTATTATACACTATACACTACACTATACACTACACTATACACTACTATACACTACTATACACTACTATACACTACACTATACACTACTACACTATACACTACTATACACTACACTATTATACACTACACTATACACTACTATACACTATACACTACACACTACACTACAATGCACTACACTATACACTACTATACACTACTATACACTAGTGCTGTACTAGTGACGAATTGGCCACGTTCTGTTTACGTGACAAACCTTACTAGTTGGCTGTGTCGGGTGGTGGCGGGTTTTAACGACACATTTATATATTTACGTGGCGATCTAACCCCAAAAAACTCTATTATGGCCTTAACAGACTGTTGGGGCAAGTGCTGTTAGCAAGCACCTACGAAGGCCGGCACGGCACACGAGGGGGTGGGTGGCCAGCACCACGGCCGGCCGCCTTTGTCTCCCTAGTGGCGATGTTTACACACCGCACCAGGTACCTACTTGAGGCTGAGTCGCCCTAGGGGAGGCCCATGACCGGTTCAGATAATCGTCACCGGTGGTGGCCGCGAGTGGGAATCGAATCCGGGCCGCCAGGTTCATAGCGCAGCGTAGCGCTAACCACTACACCACCACTCCCCCCCACACCACTCCCCACACACCACCACTCCCCACTCCACCACTCCCCACTCCACCACTCCCCACACCACTCCCCACACCACCACTCCCCCCCACACCACCACTCCCCCCACACCACTCCCCAAGTGCTGTGTTACAGTGGCGGCCATAACGAACGTTGACTTCCCACTCCCCACCCCCCCCCCCCCCCCCAGACCAATGCTCTATTTCAGGGCTGGTATTTTTAATCACCTTACAGCCCCCCCCCAACCCCACACAGGGCCAGCTGCCACTGGGGGTGCCCCCTTGTGAATGTGCGAGATGAGACGCCGTGACGTAAACCGCTCTATCAGAACAACGCGGCTCACACCAACCCTCCCCTTCTCCCCCACCGCAAATCACGTGACTTCTGTGTGGCCACTCCCACTCTGAATCCCTCCCCTCCACACCGCCCACTGTGAAAACAGACGCCGCTGCTGCTGCTGCTGCTGCCACTCTGTGCAGCTCGCTCCTGCTCGCTCCTTCCCTCTCTCTCTCATCTGTCTCTCTCTCTCTCTTCCCTCCGCTCTCATCATCACCATCATCACCACCATCACCACTCCCTCATCATCACCATCATCACCACTCCCTCATCATCACCATCATCACCACTCACTCATCATCACCATCATCACCACTCCCTCATCATCACCACCATCACCACTCCCTCATCATCACCATCATCACCACTCCCTCATCATCACCATCATCACCACTCCCTCATCATCACCACCATCACCACTCCCTCATCATCACCACCACTCCCTCATCATCACCATCACCACCACTCCCTCATCATCACCACCATCACCACTCCCTCATCATCACCACCACTCCCTCATCATCACCACCATCACCACTCGCTCATCATCACCACCATCACCACTCCCTCATCATCACCACCATCACCACTCCCTCATCATCACCATCATCACCACTCCCTCATCATCACCATCATCACCACTCCCTCATCATCACCACCATCACCACTCCCTCATCATCACCACCACTCCCTCATCATCACCATCACCACCACTCCCTCATCATCACCACCATCACCACTCCCTCATCATCACCACCACTCCCTCATCATCACCACCATCACCACTCGCTCATCATCACCACCACTCCCTCATCATCACCACCATCACCACTCCCTCATCATCACCACCACTCCCTCATCATCACCACCATCACCACCACTCCCTCATCATCACCATCACCACCATCATTCTCTCGTGGCCCCGACATCTCGGCCCGGCCATTACTTCTGCCTCTCCCTCCTCCTCCCTCCTCCTCTCTCCCTGCTGCTCACCTTGAGCCGTGCCTCCTCTGTCCATCTCCAGGCCTCCCTCTCCTTCCCTCCTCGCTCACCCTGCCCCCACCGCCCCGCCATGCCCCCACGTCTGCTGCCCTTCTGCACAACCGACTCTAACCCCACGTCCGGCGGTGCACGTGACCCGGATTTAACGTCCAATCGATACGGGCACGCGCTCACGCACGCACGCGCTCACCATGGACCTGAAGAAGCCCCCGAACGCTGCGGCTGATGCGGACGACGAGGAGCGAGCGTCCGAGAAGGCCGCGGAGTCGGAGGGGAGGCCCTCGTCCACCGACTCCTGCAGGCTCACCGACTGCAGCCTCTGCAGGCCAACGTTGTGGCCCGCCCCGTCCGTCATGTCGCTGGAACCCTGGGGGGGGGGGGGGGGGGCACGTGGGGAGGGGGGCCCAGGGGGGAGGTGGGGGACGAATGGGAGAGGGGGGGGGCGTACGGGGTAGGTGGGGGGTGGCGCACGGGGGAGGAGAGGTCACACGGAGGGAGGCAGGGGAGCACAGGGGATAGGGGGGGGGGCACGGGGGAGGGGGGATGCGAAGCGACGTGAAGCAGGAAGAGAGCAGCGGCCATTGTGTGGAGGAGGAGGGGGGAGGGGGAGGAGGGGGAGGGGGGAGGAGGAGGAGGAGGAAGAGGAGGAGGAGGAGGAGAGAGGGAGGAGGAGGGGGAGGAGAGAGGGAGGAGGAGGGGGGGGAGGGGGAGGAGGGGGAGGAGGAGGGGGAGGAGGAGGAGAGGGAGAAGGAGGGGGAGGAGGAGGAGGAGGAGGGGGGGAGGAGGGGGAGGAGGAGGAGGGGGGGAGGAGGGGGGGAGGAGGGGGAGGAGGAGGGGGGGAGGAGGAGGAGGGGAGGAGGGGGAGGAGGAGGGGGGAGGAGGAGGGGGGGAGGAGGAGGGGGGGAGGAGAGGGAGGAGGAGGGGGGGGAGGAGGGAGAGGAGGAGGGGGGGGGGAGGCGCCGTATCCGAGGCAGTGGCATCTGTTCCGGTTGCCACCCGTGCTGGCTCTCCCAGTAAATCTGCGTCTTCCCGGGTCGTCACCACGTCAGTAGTGGTAACCACAGACGATCAAAGTAATCACGAGCAGCGTTGTGCCGCGGAGCGCCACGCCACGGGGAAAGGAGGAGCGCCAACTACAGTAAAACCTTGGATTGCGAGTAACTTGGCCTGCGAGTGTTTTGCAAGACGAGCATTTTTTAAAATAAATAAATATGAATTTGATAAACGAGCGAGGGTCTTGCAATACGAGTAGTGAACGTGTACACGCTTTGTACTGCCGAGCGTCACGTGATCACAACTGACGTACGAGTGCTTTGATATACGAGTACGCTTTGGATCACAGACACGTTTCCGGAACGAATCGTGCTCGCAATCCAAGGTTGTACTGTACTTGATGGTGTGATATACCGACCATACTCTTGGGGTCTATCGGTAAAGTCACGTAGGTAGGTTCATAGTAAAATAACAAAAAATAACAAACAAAACTACGAAGTTTCGGTCGCAATGCAAGCGCTCAGGAATGTCTGTCCTTAACGCCCGTGACGTCACTCCACATCGACCAGCCCCCCAACATTAATATTCATGAGCAGGTGACGTCACTCCACATCGACCAGCTCCCCCTACATTAATATTCATGAGCAGGTGACGTCACTCCACATCGACCAGCTCCCCCACATTAATATTCATGAGCAGGTGACGTCACTCCACATCGACCAGCTCCCCCACATTAATATTCATGAGCAGGTGACGTCCTCCAAATGGACACCCCCCCCCCACCCCTCCTCATTGATAATCATGAGCGGGTGACGTCACTCAATATGGAGTACTCCCCCCCTCATTAATAATCATGAGCAAGTGACGTCACTCCACATCGAACAGCCCCCCTCATTAATAATCATGAGCAGGTGACGTCACTCCACATCGAACAGCCCCCCTCATTAATAATCATGAGCAGGTGACGTCACTACACATCGAACAGCCCCCCTTATTAATAATCATGAGCAGGTGACGTCACTCCACATCGAACAGCAGCCCTCATTAACAATCATGAACAGGTGACGTCCTCCACATGGATCTCCCCCCTCATTAATAATCATGAGCGGGTGACGTCACTCCACATGTAGCACCCCTCCTCGTTAATAATCATGAGCGGGTGACGTCACTCCACATCGAACAGCCCCCCTCATTAATAATCATGAGCAGGTGACGTCTTCCAAATGGACACCCCCCCCATTAATAATAATTAGCGGGTGACGTCACTCCACATGGGGGGGGGCGAGGCGCCTCCTCCCCCCTCCTCGGCGTCAACTGACAACCCTCACTACAAAGGCAGAACACTCACGTCATCACGTGATCTCACCCTCACTACAAAGGCAGAACCCTCACGTCATCACGTGATCTCACCCTCACTACAAAGGCAGAACCCTCACGTCATCACGTGATCTCACCCTCACTACAAAGACAGAACCCTCACGTCATCACGTGATCTCACCCTCACTACAAAGGCAGAACCCTCACGTCATCACGTGATCTCACCCTCGCTACAAAGGCAGAACCCTCACGTCATCACGTGATCTCACCCTCACTACAAAGGCAGAACCCTCACGTCATCACGTGATCTCACCCTCACTACAAAGGCAGAACCCTCACGTCATCACGTGATCTCACCCTCACTACAAAGGCAGAACCCTCACGTCATCACGTGATCTCACCCTCACTACAAAGGCAGAACACTCACGTCATCACGTGATCTCACCCTCACTACAAAGGCAGAACCCTCACGTCATCACGTGATCTCACCCTCACTACAAAGGCAAAACCCTCACGTCATCACGTGATCTCACCCTCACTACAAAGGCAGAACCCTCACGTCATCACGTGATCTCACCCTCACTACAAAGGCAGAACCCTCACGTCATCACGTGATCTCACCCTCACTACAAAGGCAGAACCCTCACGTCATCACGTGATCTCACCCTCACTACAAAGGCAGAACCCTCACGTCATCACGTGATCTCACCCTCACTACAAAGGCAGAACCCTCACGTCATCACGTGACCTCACCCTCGCTACAAAGGCAGAACCCTCACGTCATCACGTGATCTCACCCTCACTACAAAGGCAGAACCCTCACGTCATCACGTGATCTCACCCTCACTACAAAGGCAGAACCCTCACGTCATCACGTGATCTCACCCTCACTACAAAGGCAGAACCCTCACGTCATCACGTGATCTCACCCTCACTACAAAGGCAGAACCCTCACGTCATCACGTGATCTCACCCTCACTACAAAGGCAGAACCCTCACGTCATCACGTGACCTCACCCTCGCTACAAAGGCAGAACCCTCACGTCATCACGTGATCTCACCCTCACTACAAAGGCAGAACCCTCACGTCATCACGTGATCTCACCCTCACTACAAAGGCAGAACCCTCACGTCATCACGTGATCTCACCCTCACTACAAAGGCAGAACCCTCACGTCATCACGTGATCTCACCCTCACTACAAAGGCAGAACCCTCACGTCATCACGTGATCTCCGTCACGCTGTTGAGACATCGAAGTAAAAAGGACGTCGTGATGAACAAGGGATTATAACCTTAAAATGAAATAGGTCTGTGTCACCGCGCCCTTGCAAATTTCACACGAATTGATGCAATGAATATATCACCTCGCGCTCTGTGCTTTTCGCTTGCAAGTTTCAGATTTACTGCACTACACACCCGTCCTTGGACGGGCAAAACGCGAGTTTATATAATCGCTGCCCTAGATGCGCGGATCCAAACCTATGGTCCGCCAGGCTACTGACTAGTGCCGGATTATCCTCGTAGCAAAAGTGTCTACAAATGTAGTAGCTACGGGCCCCGCACTTTCAAGGGCCCCGCGCTAAACGCTTTCAAGCTGTCAACTCCGGTTCAGTGATTCTGCGCTTGCTCTATCACTATAGTACTATACCGCCTTCGACTTTGACGAACGCCCGGGTGTTTAAGGTGAGCGATTTGTCGCATTATCTGGGCTGTATAGCAAATTTAAACCAAGATTTACTTTACTGTGCGAGTTCAAAATTTGTGTTTTTATATTTACGTTTTTTATATATATTTAGGGCCCCTTTATAACACCATGCTACAGCCCCCCCCCCCCCCCCCCCCCCCCCCCCCCCCCACTGCTACTAACTACAGGGAGAAATAAAAAGAGTGGTAACAACATCGTAGCCAGGGAGGCGTGTAATCTCATACGACTCGTGGTGGCGTGCTGTCGTCACGAAGGAAGACGTTCGCAATCACAAGATGATTTCGCAATCACAAGATGATTTCGCAATCACAAGATGATTTCGCAATCACAAGACGATTTCGCAATCACAAGAAGTTCGCAATCACAAGATGATTTCGCAATCACAAGATGATTTCGCAATCACAAGATGATTTCGCAACACAAGAGGTTCGGAATCACGAGATGATTTCGCAATCACAAGATGATTTCGCAATCACAAGAAGTTCGCAATCACAAGATGATTTCGCAATCACAAGACGATTTCGCAATCACAAGAAGTTCGCAATCACAAGATGATTTCGCAATCACAAGATGATTTCGCAACACAAGAAGTTCGGAATCACGAGATGATTTCGCAATCACAAGATGATTTCGCAATCACAAGAAGTTCGCAATCACAAGATGATTTCGCAATCACAAGATGATTTCGCAATCACAAGAAGTACGCAATCACAAGATGATTTCGCAATCACAAGAAGTTCGCAATCACAAGAAGTTCGCAATCACAAAATGATTTCGCAATCACAAGAAGTTCGCAATCACAAGATGATTTCGCAATCACAAGAAGTTCGCAATCAAAAGATGATTTCGCAATCACAAGAAGTTCGCAATCACAAGAAGTTCGCAATCACAAGATGATTTTGCAATCACAAGAAGTTCGCAATCACAAGAAGTTCGCAGTCACAAGATGATTTCGCAATCACAAGAAGTACGCAATCACAAGAAGTTCGCAATCACAAGATGATTTCGCAATCACAAGACGATTTCGCAATCACAAGAAGTACGCAATCACAAGATGATTTCGCAATAACAAGAAGATTTCGCATCCGTTGGGGGTAAAGCGCAATGCTCCAAGAAGCTGGGTTTGTTGTTGTTAAAGGAGTCACTCGGCCGGCAGACGGCATCAGAGAGAGCGCGCGCGTGTGGGGGGAGCGGTGGTGCAGCGGCTAGCGCGCTACGATTCCCGCTCAAGGCCAACACCGGTGACGATTATCAGAACCGGTCCGGGGCCTCCCCTAGGTCGACTCAGCCTCAAATGAGTAACCTGGTGCGATGTGTGCGAACATCGTCGCTGGGGGAGACAAAGGCGGCCGGGCGTGGCGTTGGCCACCCCACCCCCTCGTGTGCCACCGTGCCGGCCTTCACAGGTGCTGCTGCTCGCTAACAGCACTTGCCCCCTACAGCCTGTTACAGGCTACACGGTGATAATGTGTTTGTGTCCCCGCCAGAAGGTCGCCACGCACCTTCTTCAGGAAGCTAAAGAAGCCCTGCGGCTCCTTCCCGCTCGCGTCCGAGCTCGCCGCTTCGTCGACGTCCGCTCCGACCTCGGTCGCCGGCTGCGGTGCGACACGCCGTGGTTGGTTACCCTTGCAGCAGCGGTAGCGGCAGTAGTGGCAGCAGTAGTAGTGGTAGCAGCAGTAGCAGCAGTAGTAGCAGCAGCGGTAGCAGCAGTAGTGGTAGCAGCAGTAGTAGTGGCAGCAGTAGCAGTAGTAGTAGCAGTAGTGGTAGCAGTAGTAGTGGCAGCAGCAGTAGTAGCAGTAGCAGCAGTAGTAGTAGCAGTAGTAGCAGCAGTAGTAGTAGCAGCAGCAGTAGTGGCAGCAGCAGTAGTAGTAGCAGCAGTAGTAGCAGTAGTAGTAGCAGTAGTATCAGCAGTAGTAGTGGTAGCAGCAGTAGTAGTAGCAGCAGTAGCAGCAGTAGTAGCAGTAGTAGCAGCAGCAGTAGCAGCAGTAGTGGTAGCAGCAGTAGTAGTAGCAGCAGTAGTAGCAGCAGCAGTAGCAGCAGTAGTAGCAGCAGTAGTAATAGTAGCAGTAGTAGCAGCAGTAGCAGCAGCAGTAGTAGCAGCAGCAGAGGCAACAGCAGTAGCAACAGCAGTAGCAGCAATAGTAGTAGCAGCAGTAGCAGCAGCAGAAGTAGTAGTAGCAGCAGAAGCAGTAGTAGTAGTAGCAGCAGTAGAAGCAGCAGAAGCAGAAGTAGTAGCAGCAGAAGCAGTAGTAGTAGCAGCAGTAGCAGCAGCAGAAACAGTAGTAGCAGCAGCAGCAGTAGCAGCAGTAGTAGTAGTAGCAGCAGTAGTAGTAGTAGCAGCAGTAGCAGCGGTAGCAGCAGTAGTAGTAGTAGCAACAGCAGTAGAAGCAGCAGTAGCAGCAGCAGTAATAGCAGCAGTAGCAACAGCAGTAGCAGCAGCAGTAGCAGCAGTAGCGGCAGCAGCAGAAGCAGTAGTAGCAGCAGTAGTAGCAGCAGCAGTAGCAGCAGTAGTAGTAGCAGCAGTAGCAGCAGCAGTAGCAGTAGTAGCAGCAGCAGTAGTAGCAGCAGCAGTCGTAGCAGCAGTAGCAGCAGTAGCAGTAGCAGCAGCAGTAGTAGCAGCAGTAGTAGTAGTAGCAGCAGCAGTAGCAGTAGTAGCAGCAGCAGTACTAGCCGCGGTAGCAGCAGTAGTAGCAGCAGCAGTAGCAGCGGTAGCAGTAAGATTCAGTTTGAGTTCATTCTGAAGAACCCTGTGAGCCAAGATGCTGTGAAGCTGCGTGGCACACGCACAAAAACACGACGCACCGTGTCCGTGATGGACGTAACGCATCAGAGAAAAAAAATAACAAAAAGTTTAACACATGGTAGTAGTAGTAGGTGGCGTTCATGACCAATATAATACGCAATAGAGGTTGTTTTGGGTTAGATGGCGTAAATATGAAAGTGTCGCTAAACCAGCCACAACCCAACAGGACCACTTAGTAAGGTTTGTCACGTAAACAGAAAGTGCCGATGCGTCACTAGCTCAGCACAAACCGGTGTGGTGGAGAGTAAACCCACTACGACGTTTAAAATTCGAGTATTATGGGGGGTAAGAGATCATGTGAATGAAAAAATATTTTAAAATAAAAAAATTACGTATAAATCACGACGTTTCGACAGCCACACAAGCCATCGTCTTCAGGTGCAACAATACAGCAGGCGGATTGCCGAGGAGGAAATGTAGCGAGAGAGCTACTGCAACCAAGGGTTATATTCGTTTGTGGTGGGTACAACCCAAGGGTAAGTGGGCGGGGCTCGGGATGGAATTTGCAAGTGAATGTAATCGCAGAGAGGGTTGGGGTGGGTGCCCTCGGCTATGTTATTTTCTGCCCACGTGACTTTACTGAAAGAACCAAAGAGTATGAATTCCTGCAGTCACGAAAGCTTCAAATCAAGATCTTTTTAATGTTTCAGCCAACGAAGGAATCAAAAAAATTGCAAGATTTTGTCATAACAAGTGCCGGTGGCAAACCACGCCATTACCCAAGACATACTACATTGAAATCTCCAATAAAAAATAAAAAGTACAGATGCGCCATCCATCAACGACGACATCGCGGCGAGCAAAACGCAGCATCGTTCAAAATAAAATAAAAGTTGAGATCCACGTGGCTCGGAGGTCAGGCGGCTGTGCCGGTGAGCGCTGAGAGCCTGGGAATGAACCGCGGGTTTCAACCGCTGCCCGTGATGAGATACCGGCTTCTCTCGTCTAGTGAGTTGATGGTCTCGGCCCGGTCACCAGTGGCTCACGCAGAGATCCATAGGCTCGCATACAGACCCACAGCACCACGCAGAGACCCACGGACTCACGTAGAGACCCGCAGGTTCGCATATTGACCCACGGACTCACATCGAGACCCACAGACTCGCATAGAGATCCATGGACTCACAGAGGCCTACAGACTTACGTAGGGAGCTGTAGACTCACATAGAGTGCCATTGAGACCCACAGACTCACATAGACATCCATAGACTCACAGAGACCTACAGACTTACGTAGGGAGCTGTAGACTCACATAGAGTGCCATTGAGACCCACAGACTCACATAGAGATCCATAGACTCACAGAGGCCTACAGACTTACGTAGGGAGCTGTAGACTCACATAGAGTGCCATTGAGACCCACAGACTCACGTAGACATCCATAGACTCACAGAGACCTACAGACTTACATAGGGACCGATATATACTCGCTTAGGTTGCGTTGTGATGAAACTGGCTTCTCTCACATCGCAAGTCGATCATCTCAGCCCGCTCAACAATTTGGCCGTGCTTTCGGCTAAACGGCAGCTCTGAGAATAACAAACATCGGTTTGGCCGTCATGTGGTGAACGAGCGAGGAAGTGAGCGAGGAAGTGAGCGAGTGAGCGCGAAGGAGAACGGGCGAGCGGGGCGGCCGAGGATTGTGGGGTCACCTCGGCGGCACGCGGCTTCTCCGCGGATCTTCCCCGAGCGGCGGGCAGCGTCGTTTTGGCGACGGGGCCGTTCATCGCCGACTCGGCCTTCCCCGCCGCGTTCTGCGCCGGCAGTCCTCGCGCCGCCTCCTCGTCGGACGCCCGTGCCGCCGAGTCCTTCCCGCCGAACATCTGCTTCAACGAGAAGGACCCTCCGCCGTCCTTCTGCTGCTGCTGCTGCTGCCCCGCCGTGCCGCCCGCCGCAGCCGCCGCGTCGCGGGAGGCGTCCTCCCCCCGGTCGTTCTTCCCGTCGGCGGCGCCCGTCGCCTCTTTCGCCGAGAACATTTTGAAAAAGGAACCTTCCCGTTGCTGCTTCGTCTCCTCCTCCCGCTGCTGCTTCTCCCCCTCGACGCCGACGCCGACGCCGCCGCCGCCGCCGCCGGGCTTGGTGGACCCCGCATCGTCGTCGCCCTTTGCCTTGCCGAAGTCCCACATCGCCCGCTTAGGCTTCTCGGCGTGCGGATTCACTGCGGAGGGGGCGCACGGCAAAAGCGAGAACGCGGACTCAGTGGAAGAAATGTGAAGCAGAATGGCCGAGCGCGGCCGGTCTCCGCGTCGCCCATCGTACAGGTGCAAGGGGCGGTCGCCACGGAGGAAGAAGTTCACGATCAGAAGTTTATTTGGCATCCGTTGCAGTGCCGGAATAAGCTAGTGCGGGGCCTGTAGCATATGTTATAAAGAGGCCATAATTTAAAAAAAAACACACGTAAATATTAAAACACAGATTTGTTTTACTCGCATAGTCAAGTAAGTGTATTTTTTCATTTGCTATACAGCCAGATAATACGACAGATCGTTAACCTTTAACACTCAGTCGTTCATAAAAGTCGAAGGCGGTATAGTACTATAGTAATAGACCAAGTGCAGAATCACTGAACCGGAATTGACAGCTTGAAAGCGTTTAGCGCGGGGCCCTTGAAAGTGCGGGGCACGTAGCTTTATGTAGCTGCTTGTGCTACGAGGATAATCTGGCACTGATCCGTTGGGTAAAGCGCAATGATCTTTGGAGCTGGGTTTTCTTTAAAGGGCCACTCGGCCGGCAGATGGAATCCAAGCTTGCCACAATTACAGATTAACAAAATTTAAACATTCCAACTTTATAATAATAGTAATGAATTATATTAATTCACTGGCGAGTGAGATGAAACAATCGCAGGTGGCGGATCGTTAAACTAAACTATAAACTCGTTTTGTTTATTTCACCAGGGTAAGGCCCCACTGAGTTGTGTTAGCTCTTTTGCAGAAGCGACCTGGCTATCACAAATGATAGCTCAACGAAAGTGGCTTATCATCATCAAATTTCTGGTAGCCAAATATTCAAATCGCGTGATGTTGATTCTAAATGTGAAGGGGGAAAACCGGAGGACCCGGAGAAAAATCCACGCGACCACGGGGAGAGAGACACCACAAACTCCAAATATACAGCAGCAGCAGGCGTCAGGGTCAGGATTGAATCCACGAGCTTCTGTACACCAGGCGAGGTAGTTAACATCTCCTAGCCACCGTGATGATGATAAAAGAGAGAGACACGCAAACTCCAAATATACAGCAGGTGTCAGGGCCTGGATTGAACCCACGACCTCCTGCACACCAGTCGAGGTAGTTAACATCTCCTAGCCACCGTGATGATGATGAGAGACACGCAAACTCCAAATACACAGCAGGTGTCAGGGTCGGGATCGAACCCACGACCTCCTGCACACCAGGCGAGGTAGTTAACATCTCCTAGCCACCGTGATGATGATGAAAGAGAGAGACACGCAAACTCCAAATATACAGCAGGTGTCAGGGCCTGGATTGAACCCACGACCTCCTGCTCACACGGCGAGGTAGTTAACATCTCCTAGCCATCGTGATGATGATGAGAGACACGCAAACTCCAAATACACAGCAGGTGTCAGGGTCGGGATCGAACCCACGACCTCCTGCACACCAGGCAAGGTAGTTAACATCTCCTAGCCGCCGTGTCGCGCAATGCCTGTGTAACTATGCCCGTGTAAACGTGACAATCTCGTCGGATGGTGGTGGGTTTATCATCAACATCACGTGGAAATTTATGGCAGTCAAATACTCTAAACACGTGATGTTGATTCTAAATGTGGAGGGGAAAACCGGAGGACCCTGGAGAAAATCCAGGCGACCACGGGGAGAGGGAGAGAGAGAGAGAGACGCAAACTCCAAATATGCATAGAGGCTTTTTTGAGTTATATCGCCTAAGTATATAAATGTGTCGTTAAACCCGGCACCAGCCGACACAGCCAATTAGTAAGGTTTGTCGCGTAAACGAAACGTACCAATTCATGACTAGTTCAGCACTCACCAGTTGTGTGTCCGGAGAGCAAACCCATAACAACATTTACAATTCGAGGGCGTGACATTTCACCGGTAATTACAACAACAACAACAACCAGCCTCATCAGGCAACAGCCACAGAATTGTGGATACATCCTCCTCCCAATATACAGCAGCAGGCGTCAGGGTCGGGATCGAACCCACGACCTCCTGTAGACCAGGCGAAGTAGTTAACATCTCCTAGCCACCGTGATGATGATGAGAGAGAGACACGCAGACTCCAAATATACAGCAAGCGTCAGGGTCGGGATCGAACCCGCTTGTATGTACACTACTGTACGCACAATGCGGAACCTCTTTCACACCATACGTAGCCAACCGCTGCTCATCGGAGGGGCGGGGACGGCGCTGTAATATGACAACATTGTACACGCGACAAAATCACCGATCAAAAGAGATTTGCCCACATATTGAAGAACGTGGGCGTGGCTTTGGCCGAAGGAGGCGTGTCTTTGCCCATATATGGTCACCGTGGATCGTTAATAGAGATTGATTGTGATAAATTACGTGACACCCCTTCATTTAATTGACTAATACCCTCTGTGAGTCTATGGATATATATGAATCTTTGGGTCTCTATTTCAGTTCATGGCTCTCTATGCGAGTCTATGCGTCTCTATGCGAGACTATGAGTTTCTATTCGAGCCTTTGGGTCTTTATGCGAGTCCGTGGCTATATGGCAGTCTTTGGGTCTCTAAATGCGAGTCTACGAGTCTCTGCGCGAGTCTATTGTCTCCGTATGCGAGGCATTGGTGACCGGGCTGAGCCCATCACCCCAACCGCGCCTGAGAACCCGGGCTGAGTCACAGGCGGCGGCCCGAAACCCGGATTCGAACCCAGGGCGCCCCCTCCGTGGTGCCGGCTCAGCGTCCGTGACCCCTGAGCCGCTCCCCGCCGCTCTTTCGCAATCCTCTCTCCCTCTCTCTCGCACTCTCAGCGACCATTGCAAACTCTGACCAAAACGCTCGGCGCCGGGTCGGACGCGGCTGTGCGCCGCGGACGGACAACCGTGGGGCAGAGCAGCCCAAGGGAGACGCGGAGGCCACGAACGGAGAAGGGGGGGGGGGGCTCTCTCTCCCTCTCTCCCTCTCTCTCTCCCAAGAGTCTGTGGGAAATTTTTTGTTTGTTTTCGAATGCGCCTTGAAACACATCCGTACGCTTCCGCTCATCCGTCTTCATCTTAATTCAATGTATGAGGCGCTCCGGCCGAAGCGGCGCAGCAGCGAATTGACGACGGCGCGGACAACGTTCCGCTTTGGGGGGCATGCGGTGGGGTGGAACGTGCGCGATGACTGTTCGAATGAAGACGAGGACAATGACGAAGAACGACGATGATGACGATGATGATGATGGTGGTTGGTGGTGGTGATGCGTGGGAGGAAACGGAGGTGAAGATGACGCCGACGGATGAGTACGAGGGGGAGGGTGGCTGTGGGAGAAGGGGGGTGGGGGATATTGGTGGGGACGTGGGGGAGGGGTAGACGAGGAAGGGAACAGGCGTCTGAGAACAGGCGGGTGAGAACAGGCGGGTGAGAACAGGCGTCTGAGAACAGGCGGGTGAGAACAGGCATCTGAGAACAGGTGTCTGAGAACAGGTGGGTGAAACCAGGCGGGTGAGAACAGGCGGGTGAGAACAGACGTCTGAGAACAGTCATCAGAGAACAGGCATCTGAGAACAGGCGTCTAAGAACAGGCGGGTGAGAACAGGTGGGTGAGAACACGCGGGTGAGAACAGGCATCTGAAAACAGGTGTCTAAGAACAGTCGGGTGAGAACAGGCATCTGAGAACAGGTGTCTGAGAACAGGTGGGTGAGACCAGGCGCGTGAGAACAGGCGGGTGAGAACAGGCATCTGAGAACAGGCGTCAGAGAACAGGCATCTGAGAACAGGCGTCTAAGAACAGGCGGGTGAGAACACGCGGGTGAGAACAGGCATCTGAGAACAGGTGTCTGAGAACAGGCGGGTGAGAACAGGCGGGTGAGAACAGGGGGGTGAGAACAGGCGTCTGAGAACAGGCAGGTGAGAATAGGCGGGTGAGAACAGGCATCTGAGAACAAGTGGGTGAGAACAGGCGTCTGAGAACAGGCGGGTGAGAACAGGCATCTGAGAACAGGCGGGTGAGAACAGGCATCTGAGAACAGGCAGGTGAGAACAGGCGGGTGAGAACAGGCATCTGAGAACAGGCGGGTGAGAACAGGCATCTGAGAACAGGTGTCTGAGAACAGGCGGGTGAGAACAGGCGGGTGAGAACAGGCGGGTGAGAACAGGCATCTGAGAACAGGCAGGTGAGAACAGGCATCTGAGAACAGGTGGGTGAGAACAGGCGTCTGAGAACAGGTGGGTGAGAACAGGCGTCTGAGAACAGGCGGGTGAGAACAGGCGTCTGAGAACAGGCAGGTGAGAACAGGCGGGTGAGAACAGGCATCTGAGAACAGGCGGGTGAGAACAGGCGTCTGAGAACAGGCGGGTGAGAACAGGCGTCTGAGAACAGGCGTCTGAGAACAGGCGCCTGAGAACAGGCGGGTGAGAACAGGCATCTGAGAACAGGCGTCTGAGAACAGGCGTCTGAGAACAGCCGGGTGAGAACAGGCAGGTGAGAACACGCGGGTGAGAACACGCGGGTGAGAACAGGCATCTGAGAACAGGCATCTGAGAACAGCTGGGTGAGAACAGGCAGGTGAGAACAGGCATCTGAGAACAGGTGTCTGAGAACAGGCGGGTGAGAACAGGCGGGTGAGAACAGCCGGGTGAGAACAGGCGTCTGAGAACAGGCGGGTGAGAACAGGCGTCTGAGAACAGGCAGGTGAGAACAGGCGGGTGAGAACAGGCGTCTGAGAACAGGCGTCTGAGAACAGGCGGGTGAGAACAGGCGTCTGAGAATAGGCGTCTGAGAACAGGTGGGTGAGACCAGGCAGGTGAGAACAGGCGGGTGAGAACAGGCATCTGAGAACAGGCGTCTGAGAAGAGGCGGGTGAGAACAGGCATCTGCGAACAGGCGGGTGAGAACAGGTGTCTGAGAACAGGCGGGTGAGAACAGGCAGGTGAGAACAGGCGTCTGAGAATAGGCGGGTGAGAACAGGTGGGTAAGAACAGGCGTCTGAGAACAGGCATCTGA